CGCATCAATGTTGGTCGGCCTTGACCTACCCCGTCATACCTGGAGGCGAGGGCGCCCTTGGTGTTCCCCTCTGAGTGGTGAGGGCGGCCCGGTGACTTCCAGTCCTCGAGGCCGTCTTGTGGGTGAGGTGGGGCAGCGGCGTCCCTCACGGGTGGAGCTGGGTATCCTGACAGCGTGCCTGTGGCCGGCCTCCCTCATCGCAGCCCCCGACCAGGCTTCCACATAGGTGGCCGAGACAGGTTGGCCCAGCTTTGGCAGAGCTGCCCCAGAGCCAGGGCTGCCACGTGCTTGGGGCCAGTCTCGGTCCAGGTGCCCTGAACTGCCGTGACAGGTCCAGCGCTCTGCTCCTCCTCCCGTGGGCCCAGCTGCCCTGGACATGGCCCAAGCAAGGCTCCTGGGGTTCACGGAGGCAAGGCTCTCACGAGGTTCTGAATGTTGGCTTTTCACAGGAGGCCCAGTGGGCAGCTCCCCGCTCCAGGGCCTAGAGAACTGTCTCCGAGAGATACCTGTGCCCAGGTCACAGCCTGCCTGGTCCTGGTCCTTGGCAGGGGACAGGGGACCAAAGAGAGCAGAGCCAAAGACCTGGACGGCAGAGCAAGAAGGTAAAGTACGGCTGCGTGGTTGTCTGGGAGCAAGAAAAGGCACTGCCAAGCTTGGCGCCCCAGGCCCCCCCTCCACCAGCAGCTGGAGGGTCCACACCTGCCCCCGAGACAGAAGATGCCCTGGAAACAGCCTGGGCAGAGGGGCTGGTGTGCCAGCCAGGGGTTGGGAGGGATGGGGGTGGAAGCAGGGCAGCGCCCTCTGCCCCTCGAGTCCCGGCCGTGGCAGTGGAGTGTCTTAATCGTGGCTCTGTTGGCCCCACGTGCCTTGATGTTTGCCACAGTCGCTGACCTGTGGGGCTCTCAGGGATCCAGGTGGCTGGGTCCAAAGAGATTCTGGAGAATTTGGGCAGCCCCTGGGGACATCTGCAGGACTGGAGTGTGTCCCGCACCTGGAGCTCGTGTGCCCAAGAATCCAACGATGACAGAGTTGTTCTCTGTTCGTTAACTCCGTTTCCTCGGTGCCAACACAGAGCGCCGGGGGCTGACGGGCCTCTTGGCCTCTCATTAAAACAGGACTGAGGGGCGATGCCTGTGATCCAGTCCGTCTGGGACCACGTGGGGGGGACGTGCCCACCAGGAGCCTGAGGCCGACCAGCCCGCAGGCAGTTGCCCCCAGCAGTGTCCCTCCCTGCTGCCAGCAAGGGCTCAAAGACCGCATGGCCACCAGGCCAGGACCGTGGAGGTGGCTCCAAGATGGTGAGCGGATGTCTGCCCCTGGTGCTCACTGGCACGTGTTCCCTCCAGATAAAGTCTGTGCCAAGGGAATAGGTTTTCCCTTCCCTCTCTGTCCCGCTGCTCCTCCCCGGTCTTACCCCTGTTCCCCAGACTGCCAGCTGGAGCACGTGAGCTGCGTGCCCCGCTCTGCTAGCTGCGTGCTAGAGCCATGCGCATGGTCCCCAAAGACTGCTGACCGGGGCGCTCGGACATGTGCTAAGAGACGATAAAGTGACCTAAAGTGCTGAGAAGAAGGGGCGGGCAGAGAACACTGGCTGCGGGGATTGTGGGGATTGTCCAGGGCAAGGTCTTATTTATTGTGCTGGGTTCCCGGGGGCGGAGGGTGTTCCCTCTGCTGCCGATCCACTTAGTTTAACCCACAGCAGAATTCCGGCCTCGACCTGCTGAGCGCTGGAGACTTTGGCTTACTTGAATAAATACAGTGTGGCGAATACTCCCACCAGGGAAGAGCTGGCTTTGGGGGCGTCCTGTGGACGTAACAGCCTGCGCTGGTTCTCAGTGCAAGTCGGAGGGGCTGCCCGGCTTATAAGACCCAGGGCCTGGCTGGAACCGATGACTAGTGGCTCCAGGGACTTGAGACTTCTGGAAAGCTCCCCAGCTGGCTTTCCAGAGGGGCCGGGGCCCTGGCCAGGCTCTGGCTTTGCTTCTCTCTACCATCCATAGTCAGAGAGGGGGCTGTTCAGGTCCACCGGAGCTTGTCTGGGCTGTTGGCCGGCCCGGCAGGGACCAGCTTTGTGTGCCTGTTCATGAAGGCAGCAGGATTTCCAGTCCTCAGCCTGAAGGACAGAGATATCTTATGTTGTCGTTTGCCCAGGAACAGCCACTACGCCCTCTCCGCTCCACTGCCTGGAAAGCTCTCTGAAGGGGATCTTGCCTGGGAGGCCTCTGCGCTTTGCCTGCTTGGCCGGCCCCGGCCCCGGCCCTGGCCCCGGCCCTGGCCCCAGCTCCAGCTCCAGCTCCAGCTCCAGCTCCAGCTCCTGTTCCTCTGAAGGAGACCTGAGGCCAGAGCCTGAGCCCTGGCAGCCACTCCCGCAAGGTGAGCTTGTGGGAGAGACGAGGGTAGGGAGCTGTGCCCCAGGCCGGAGCCACGGCCCTGGCACCCGCTTTGTTTGTGATGCAGGGAGGGACCCGCTTCCCAGCAGCAAGGGTCCTGGCTCGTCGTCCCCACACTCTGGTGGCACCCCCGCTGGCAGCAGCCCTGGTGATGGCCCAAGGAGGGCAGAGCCCAGGGACCACTTCGGCCTCAGTGCAGGTGAGCCCGGGGTCTCCTGAGAGGGCTGTGTTCCCGGGAGGGCCGCGAGTCCAGAGACTGGGTTCGCTGAGCCCTACTGGTCACTTTACCCGACTTGCCAGAAAGTTCTCTCCGTTTGTCATGCTTGAGTTTCCTGTGAGACGAGCTGTGTCTGAGAAAGGAGGTGGACTGTTGAGGTGCACAGGGTCCCGGGAGTGTTTGTTAGAATGCCTGACGATAAACTTAATGCGCACGTACTGGTACATGTCACGTACACACTTAATGGCATGTGTGCACACATACACTGTTGTGTCAGCCCCAGCCTTTCCGTAGTGCTGAGTGCTGCTGTCAGCTAGGAACCCTGAGGCACTCACCCAGCCGACTTCCCCGTATTTCTCAGAGTGAGTCCCACAGGCATTTCCTCGCCGGGACCCATGTTCTGGCTAGGCCAGCCCCGTGGTCCTAGAAGCCCAGGGTTTCGATCTTAGGACGCGCTTCAGCAGAAGTCCCCCGGGAGCTTTGAGGAACAGGGTTTATTAACGCACACAGGTCCTGGAGGGCGTGCAGCAAGGTGGCGGGGTGGGGGATGGGGGAGGAGAAAGCACGCGGACCTGGTGCTCTGTCTTTGTTAGGGTCGAGGGTGGGGCGTTTAGGGTTTGATGGGGTTCGCTCTGTATTGGCTAATTTAAAACATAAGAGCCAGAATTAGGGCTGAAAGAGAAGCGGGGTCACTTAGCCATCAGTTATTTAGGTCACCCAGGGTTTTCTGAAGGAGGGACGTGCGTGAGGGGTGGGCAGCCTGGTTGTTTATCGTGTTGTTTTGCTAGTAGCTGTCATACAGCGGCAATACGCTTGTCCAAGGTGGATGTCTTGACATGGATGCCGCAGTCCAAAGCTTAATGTCAGACGCTTACAGTAACAATCAAAAAGCTTAATGTCAGGGACCTAGGCTGTGCACGTATACGTATGTACATAGAATGATGATAATATATATTAAAGATATGGCAATAAAAACTATGTCAAAAGTGAGGTTTCTCCACCTGGGAGAACTTAGAGGTTGTCTTGTCAAGAAAGCTGGAAACCCTGCCTGCTGTCCCAGGCCACCTCGCTTCTTAGACCCAGCTTGACCCAGTGTCTGACCCAGAAGGAAGACGGGAGGCAGGTCCCAGTCACCCAGGAGAGAAGTGTGCTCAGAGACCGCAGGCCAGCCTGGTCCCTGGGGCAGCACCCGAGGAGGTAGGGGCAGAGTGACCGGTCGGGGACGGGGGTTCCTGTGGACTCGGGTTGGTGGCCCGTGCAGTCCTTGGCATCTGCAGGTCCAGGCTGTGCCCAGTGAGCCTGGCAGAGTAGGCAGGAGCAGCCTCACTGCAAGCGGGACCTGCAGATCACGGCCCTCTCCACCTGCTCCCCCCGGTCCCCACCTCCCGGAAGAGCCAGGGCCATCATGCCGGAGCCGCACGGGACTCCAGAAAACCCAGTCCCTCTCAACACGCAGGCCCCAGCGGGCCATTTGACCAGAGTCAGGCTCTCCGACAGGCCACATGTATCCACCTGGCATCTCATTTAACCGTTATTTGAAAGTTGAAAGTTTGATTTCCTTAGGTCATGCCCAAATTTCCGCAGGTCAGAATGGCTCTGTCAAAACGACGTGTCCTCTCCCCAAGTGCTCTGTGCTCTTTCTGCAGGGGCAGTTGGGAGTCCTAGCCCTGTCCCTCGGCCGGAGAAAAGGCCCGGGCTGGGGCCTTGCCAGCCTCCTGGGTCAGCACCTGGACCCCTGTCCTGGAAGCCCAGGGTTAGTGAAGAATCTGGGAGCCTGGGGCCTGGACATGGAGGACCAAGTGTCGCAGGTGAGCTGGTGGCTTCCGCGTCCCCTCCAGTCGTCAGGAGCGCCCCTGCAGGCATGGGGGTGGGCAGGCGTTCGGCGTGTGCCCAGCCACCCACCCCCTCCCACTGACAGCTACTTCCTGCAAGGCAGGCTGGACCGTAGCCCAGTCACAGCTAAGGAAAAGTTTTTCTTAATACCTTTCCAGGCTTGTTTGGGTCACAGGTAGGGAGAGTCTCACCTTGAACTCACTTAGGTTGCTTATTTCATTTCAGTATTTTCTTGACAGAAATAGCTGGCTTTTTCATAAAAGCATAGATAACTTTTTAGAGGCAAAACTCAAATTGAGACTTGCGCCAGAATAGATACGTCCAGAATCACAGGTTAGGGTTTGAGGGGACTTAGACGAGGAAACCGAGGTCCAGTCACGGTGAGTGACCTGGCCAAGGGCATCCGAGAATGTGAGATGTTCCACCCCGCACGGGACCCCGAGGACGTGCTTCCTTGAACCTCGCTGGGGACACGCGGGAGGGCGTGGGGGCCTCCTGGGGCACTCTAGGACGGGTGCTGGGATCCTCGCACCATTCTCAGAGTGTGGCCCGTGGTGGCTCCATCGCTGGCCCACACGTCAGGCTACTCTTGACGGGCAGCTGTCTTATTAAGGGCTCTGCGCTGGCCTGAGGCCTCCAGGCCCCTGCCACACCCTCAGGAGTGTGCCTGAGATGGGTATCGCTCCCCCTTACCTCAGACCCTTTCTGAAGAGCTTGACCAGGCAGCAGTGGGGTTCTTCAGCATCTCGTCGTCATCTTTTCCTCTGACTAAAGTCTGAAAAGAAGCTTCTAGGCAGGCGGGGCTCCGAGGGACGGGGGAGAGCAGGTCCGCCCCTCCATCCGAGGGGGCAGCGGGGCTGCCTTGCGAGGTTTGCCCGGGGCGGAAACCAGTTCCAGGGGAACAAGGTGAAGGATTAGGTGATTTAAGACTTAAGACCCTGTGACTTTGCAACTTCTGAATCGGAAGGACAGAGCTCAGGAGAGGGAACCCTTGTGGTTTGCTTGTGACCAGCCGCACTGGGTGCCAACGCGCACCCTGGTCACCCCACTGGCAGCACCAGGCCCCAGGTTGGACTGGCCCTCTTGGGCCCTCTCCTAGACACTGCCCATGGCCTTGGCCTCATGCTGTCTGCTGAGGTTTCTCCAGGCCCTGCCCATGGACTCCCTAGGGCATGGTTAGGGACCCTCAGGTGCCATCTGTTCCCAAAAATGGCACAAAGAACCCACCAATCCTTTTCCTAGAAGGTGAGCAAGGCCAGTGTCCCGAGAAAGCTTGGTTACCATGGAGACCCAGTCTGTGGTTTTTCCTGCCCGTGAATTTGGGGAACAACCAGGAGACATGGCTGCAGTTGATGTCGCGAACATTGTCGTCAATATTTTCAAGCCCGAGTCACTTCCTTCCCATCTAGAGCCAGGCCTTGGCGGGGCAGGATGCAAAGTGTGTTAGTTCAGGGCTCCCCTGGGAGAGGAGAGGTCCCGACAGCCTGAGGACCCTCACCGCACTTCCCTGCTCTGGTTTCAGCCGGGACCGGAGGGAGGCCGCTGCCCAGGGGCCCGCCTGAGCCGCCGCCCTCGGCCACTGCCCCTCCAGCTTGGCCGCCCGCCTCCCCGCGGTCGCCGTGTTCCTGTGGGGGTCTCCTGCAGCAGGAGCTCCACGGCCTCAGTGTCGCCCTCTCGGAGAAGCTGGACCAGCTCGCCACGGCCCTGGCAGGCCTGTCTCGGGAAGTGGCCAACATGAAGACCCAGGTGGATCGGCTAGGGAGGCGCCCGCGGGGCCCTGGGCACAAGGGCCAGGCCTCCTGGCCATGGGCCCTCCCTCGGGGCCCTGCTCAGAGACACCTGCCCTACTGGAGACGGAAGGGCCCCACCAGGCCGAAACCAAAGATCCTGCGCGGCCAGGCGGAAGGCTGCAGGGCTGGCGACACCTCAGGCCTCTCCCACGGGACGCTCCACCTGGTGCCCCCAGCAGAACCTTCTGGGCCCAGCTCCAGCCCTTCCCAGCAGCCCCCATACGCAGCATGCAGCCGCACTATGCTGACTGTGCACCCCGCCCTTGGACACACCGGGGGCCACCAGAGCCCCCCTCCCCCTTCAGTGCCTGCTGCCTTCCCCGCCCAGATGTCCTCTCCTGCCACCAGTGCAGACGCAGAGCCACCCGCTGCAGTGGCTGCACCAGCCGGGACTCGAAACTGGCCCAAGGATCCAAACGGCTTGTTGACGGGGGTCCAGAGAGCCCTCAAGGAGGAACTGTGGGGTGCAGAACACAGGGACCTGAGGTGGGGGGCCCCTAGCCACCTTCTTCGTCAGCTCAGTCCCGCTGAGAAATCTCTGCCCCCGGCTGCCTCTCCCAGGGCCTGGCCCACCCCCACCCCCTGCTCCAGCCAAACCTTCCCCGTTTCTGGGCAGTGAGGGGCTGGGCACCCCCTGGCCCGACTGCCCCAGACTCCAGGATGCTCTTTGTTCAGCCGCCATTTGGGGCTTATTCCTCAGCCGTGCCGTGTGGCCACCTCGGCTCAGGTTCGTTCAGATGTCGCTTCCTCCTTCCCCAGAGCGTGCAGGGGTGGTGGCGGACACGCAGGCTCGCAGCACGTGTGCCCACAAGGGCCCCTCCCTAGCACCCGCCTTCCTGATCTCGGCTTCCGGGTAAACGTGGGCAGAGATTCCCTCTGGGAGAATCCGCCCTGTGGTCTAAGCCGAATTCGCCTCTGGTTTCCAAAGCTAAAGAAGTCGGCTGCTAGGGAAAGGCCCCGGCTCCACAGCAAGGGGCTCAGTGGGTCACGTCAGGGCCGAGTAGTCTGTTCTCACTGCTGGGGACGAGTTGGCTTGGCTGCCCACCCTCCACACTGTCGAGAGAATGCACCGCCTCCCACAGGGCTGAGGACAGTTGGCTGCAGGACAGGATCCCAAGGTGACTGGGAGAGAGCAGGGTGCCACAGAGTGGGCAGCTCGGCATGTCCACGGGCAAGGTGGCGGCACTGGCTCCTGAGGCTGTGAGGGAGGCTTCCAGGCCCCTCTCCTGGCTCTTTGGGGGAGATCTTCATGTTCACATGGGGTTCTACCTATGTGCATGTCTCCAGACCCCCCCTCTGCGTAAGGACACCTGCCATGCCCTGTCTCCAGGTCAGGTCGCATTCTGCGGTACTGGCGCTTAGGGATTCAACATGGACTTGGGGGACACAGTTCAGTTCAGCCCCTAACACCTGTATGCGACTGAGCTAGTCTCGGCTTCCTCTTGGGAGAAGGAAGCATGACTGGGTGTCTCTGGGCCAGAATGGCCTGCTCTGGGCCCCACCCCTCGGGTGGCAGGTGGCATATTGGGAAGCTTGCCAGTCACCTACCCACCTCACTTCCTCCCGGGGCGGATCTTTTCCCCACCCTTATGTTCCCCCCGTGTCCTCATTAGATCTGAAGAATCTGTGAGAACTGTCTGTGTATACACATTACCCAGGAAAGACAGGCCTTGTGTGGACCGACTCGGTCAGCTCTGCTATCGGGGACCTGGGCCGCCAGGCCGAGGCCCGGCCAGCTCGGGGCCCGGGAGGGACTAGCGGTGATGACTGCACAGCAGCGCCTCATGGCTGGCGCGTGTCTGAAGCCGGGGTCACGGGATGTACAGGGTCTAGCCCGTGCTCTTTGCTGCCCCTGTGCAAGCAGTAGAGGGGAGGGGCCGGGGAGACTGTCACAAAGCGGGGACAGGCATTCAGATGTTCTCAAATGAGCGATCTTCACACCTGGCCGTACCCGATAGAGGATGAGGGGCAGGAAAGTTCTAGGCTTTCCACTCAAGACCTCAGGAAGGTGAGCCCAGCTCCTTTTCAAGCTGTGCAGGGAGCGACACGGTGCATTTCAGAGCCGGTGGACCGAGTAGGGGGCAGACTGGCGGAAGGACAGAAGGATGTGCCTCAGCGCAGGCCCTGGCAGGGAGGAGAATCCCACTCACCCCGCTCAGCCCTCCTTGCATCCCTCCATGCTCCGGCCCTGGCAGGGAGGAGAATCCCACTCACCCCGCCCAGCCCTCCTTGCATCCCGCCTGAGCAGCCTCCACGCTCTGTCGCCCTTCCCAGCAGGAGTAATAGATGGTCCACTGTCACCACCGTATGGCGTTTTTAAGGCTGGGTTTTGTGGACTTCACTAATACCAGCTACCACACCAACTGCAGCAGTCCTGAGGATGAACGAGCTCAGAGGGTGTAACTTGCTCGCGGTTGCACAGCGTTTCATTGGCAGGGCCGGGAAGAGTGTGGGACACCCCATCGTGCTCTGTAGCCCCCCTGCACGTCACCTTCTCTGCTAGGCAGCTTCCCCGCCCAGCCCTCGCCTGCTGCGGTGGACGAGGATACTGAATCACCCCAGTCTAGGAGGTCTGAGCCAATCAGACTGTACAGGAAGTTCAAATCTTTTATAAAAAAGATGTGGAAAGTGAGAAATAAAATGAATGGCAAGCTTCACGGTCTGCAGTGATGTTCGCCCCACAGGTCTGCTGCCACATAAACCAAAATCTTTTTTTTTTTTTAATAATTATTAACTGAAGAGCCACCTAGAATCACCAATTTGGTGAAAAATCTGTATGCAGCTTAGGATTCTGTTGTGTGTCCTTCACCTACTTTTTGAGGAAATGTCACTTTGGGAGCAACTGAGGGGCCTTTCGAACTCAGGAATTTCAGGGGTCTAGGGGTAAGGGGCAGAGAAGGCCCTGGCTCTGCCCGTCACCCTCCTGGGAAGTAGCCTAGAGGATGGCTCCTGGCCGACCCGGGCACAGACTTCCCCTCCGTCGGGTCCTCCAGTGTGCCATCTGCCACCCGCCAGCCTGGCCACTGGAAGGAAGGAAGGGGACGGTCCTGCTTCAACTAATCAAAATCAGTGAATTCCTCACATGTCTGGGCCACCTCTGAGGCGTCCAATGGAAGAGAGGCCACAGTGGGGTTGGGGGGTTAGCTGCCCGTGACACCATGTGATGTCACTGCTGCCTCCCAAAGAAGCCTGGTTCACTTACTGGAAGACCAGACTTGTGACTTTTTTTGTGTCTTTGTGTTTTAGCTGTGGCTTCTGTAAATACTCTCCAGTCGGATTTTATTTTTGAATACAACTTGATAAAATTTTTGTTCCTTACTTGGAGCCCTTAATTCACTTACATGTAATAAAGTTACCGACGGATTTGAGCATACCATCTTATTCTCTGCTTACTTTTTTCACCTGGTTCTGAGCCTTTTCCCTTCTTTCCTGCCTTCTGTCGTGTTGACAATGTTGTGGGTTTTGTTTGTTTTCGGTCATTCCATATTCCCGCTACTGGCCTCACCATTTAAAGAACCAAAAGGAAAAACATCTAAATTTACAATCACGTTTGGGAAATTTTAGCATACCTTTCCTAGAAATTGATAGAAGAAATCAGGGAGGATATAGAAGATTCGAACAAGTCAATTAACAAACTTGGCTCGATTGATGAATGTATAGAATACTGCACCACAGGATTACAGAATATATATTCTTTTCAAGCATACACAGAACAGCCGCAAAGATTGACCATATAATAAGCCTTGGAGCAAAATTAAATAAATGTAAAAGTATTAAAATTATATAGAGTATGTTCTCTGACCATACTTTAGCTTTTAAGTTAAAAAGAAAAAGAAATTCTTATATATTAAAAAAATAATTATTCTCTCAAACTCATGTGTCAATGAAGAAATAAATATTTTGAACAGAACTATAAAAATGTACCACATGTCAAACATGGAGGATAAAGCTACATCAGTATTTAGAAATGTATTGGCATAAATGCAAACAAGAAAAAGGAAAGGCTAAGAATTTACAAGGAAATAAGACAGCAAAGGAACGCCCCCCAAAAGTCAAGGGCCTGTAAAGATAAGAGCAGAAATTAGTGAAATAGCATTCATAGAAATCAATGAAGCCAAAAATCATTTAACAAAAAATGAAGTTGACCAGCTTGTGGTCTAATTCATCAGTAATAGAAGGCCCAAATAACCAGTCTCGGGAAAGAAAAAGGTGACATTACTACCAATGTTGCTGAAGACCATATAAAAATAAGATATTCCAAGCAATTTTGCCTAGAATTTGAAAATTTGATTCAACTATACATCTCCCATAACAATACAACTTAACAAAACACACTCAAGAAGAAACAGAAAGCCTGAATAGCCCCTTCCCATTCAAAAAAAATGCATCGGATCAAACATCTTGCCACAAAGCAAGCTATGACCCAGAAGTCTTTACTGGTAAATTCTACCTCTCATTTAAGGAGAAGGTCATTTCTATTCCAGAGAACAGAAAAGTAGGCATTCCTCTTTAACTCATTTTATGAGACTACCATAACCTTGAAACCTAGAGTCGAGGACAGTACAAGAAGACGAATCACAGACTAGTCTCAAAAAGATGTGCAAAGAAGCAAAAATCCTGAATGAGTCCTATCCAACAATCTAGCAATTTATAAAGAGAATAAAACATCATGACCAAATTGGGTTTATCTCAGAGATTCAAGGATGGTTTTAACATTTGAAAATCTCTGGCGGTCACCTACCGCAATCATCAAGCCGGAAAATCAAGTGACCATCTCAATAGGTGCAGAAAGATGATCTGCTAAGAGCCAGCATCCATCAACACTCGCTAAGTAAACCAGGATGAGAAAGAACATTTCTTAATTTGATAAAGATTCTCTGCCAAAAAAATAGAGCAAACACGATACTTCATGGTGACATATTGAAGTGTTTCCTCAGATCTGGAATGAGGAAGGGGGATTCAGTAGAAAACAGAAAACCCACTATAGCGGATTTTCTAACCAGGACAGTAAGGCAAGAGAAAAGGAAGACACAAAAATCCAAAAAGAAGGAACGAAAGAGTCATTGCAAGCGACGTGACTGTACACACAGACAGCTGGAAGGAGTCGATACCTAAACTACTAAAATGAATGAGAAAATTTTTAAATTAAGAATTTTCATTGATAGTAACCAAAAAAATATTCAAGAATCTAGGAATAACCAGAAAAGGTTTGTATGGAGAAAACTATTGAGCCCTTTTTCATAATTTCCTTCACTCCTTATTCCTGACAGTCCAGGTAGATGTTAGTCCTGTTACAATCCTGTTATTATCGTCCTTATTTTACAAATGAGGAAAGGTTACAGAGAGGTTTACAGAGAGGTTAGTAAGCTTGAGCCCAGTCACAGAGCCAGTAGGGAGGGGACTGAACCATACTTGGAATGGGAGTAATTGCCTTCTGAGCAAAGTCAGGCCTTAAAACATGCAGAGCACGCCCAAAGCGGCACCTGCAAGCTAGGTTTGTGGAGTCTGAGGCAGTTCAGGAAAGAAGGGGAGGAAAAACCAGATTATTTCTAAAATTACTAAGCTACAACACTTATTGGTATGTTATTTGTTGAATGTCTGCTCCCCACAGCGGTCGTAAGCTCTGTGAATGAGGGCGGATGCTTATTACATCTGTGCACCAACGCTGGGTCAAGGACAGAGTAGGGGTTCAATAAACATGAACTGAATACCTGAATGACGCATGTATTTGGATTCGAGACAGCAGATTTAGGCTTGGTGGTGACCCGGACTTGACCTTTAAGGTGATGAAGGGCGACGCCCTAGCAGTGGGCCTCATCTCTGGGTGCACATTCGGATCACTCGGGAAAGGTTTGAGAAATCAAGGTCAGGCCCCACTTACGCAAATTCTAACTCAATTGGTCTCTGGTGGGGCTGAGCATTGGTGTCTATCAATCATCCATCTGTCCATCCATCCATCCATCATCTTTACATACATCTATCTAGCCATATATATAGACTCTACTGAAATATAACAAATATACAGAAAACCGCACATACCCATTGATATTTTTTTAATATTTCTAGGAGATTCCAATGTGTCGAGAACCATTCTCCTTGGTAAAAAGGTAGAACTATTGAAGTTTATTTGGGGGCTTTCCCCACTGTTTCCCGTCAGCCTGTCTCCTTGCTTTACCACGGAGAGCTGCTCCTGCATCTCCCCTCAACCAGCGATGTCGCATGTATTTATTTCATTCCCAAAAGATGGACAGGGTGCCGTTCCTGGGCCGGGATCCCCAGGCGAGCTCATGTACCTTCACCGGATGGGACAGGGAGAGGGACGACAGACCCTTAGCAGGTGGAAATCTCAGGGGAGGGAGGGCGGGTGAGGGATGGAAGCCCTCTCCAGTTGGGGGTCAGTGTCCCCAGCCGTGAGTCATGGAACTGGATTTTTCCTCACCTCCTCAGCCCCGCCAATAATGAGACTTATCTGCTCTCAGTCCCAGGCCCTTAGAAAATCCTCATGCAGGAATTAATTAATCAATTAATCCATTCTATTAGGCTAATTGCCCACTAACTTTACAAGAATGTAAAATCTTTGCCTTTTACCAGAAATTGTCAATGGACTTTCAGGCTGTCGTGAACAAAAAAGAAGGCTCTTCTCAGTCTGAGATGCCCCTCACCGTCCATCAGATGGCGCGGGGACGCCTTGGCACAGTGGCAGGAAGCTGCATTTCTAGAATTCTGATTTGGGAGGGGAGGGCTGGGGGACTGGTGGAAGAAAGGGGCTTTGTTTCCCCGGCCTGGGCGCCACCTGCAGGGGATGAGGAGCAATTACAGATCAAAGCTACAAATGGCATCTCCCTGGGGCTGAAAGGAAAGGCCAGAGAAGCCACGAACTTGGCCCCTTCTACTCTGAGGACCTCCCACTGTCTAGCACATGAAGTCACTCTGTGTGCGGTTCCGGCAGAGGGGGCGAACACTGGCCTAGCTCCAGCTTGGTCCTGCGGCCACCCTGTTGGGGGGCGGGGAGGGGGAGCAGCATCCTTCAGAGACGTCGCCTGCCTGACCACAGGCCCTGGCCTCGACCTAGCTGAACAACGTCACCACGTGCTGCTTTCTGTCACAGAACGCATTTCAGCCAGGCTAACGTCTCACTACCCCTTCTGTCTACCTGAGCCCATGCAGTTCTTTCTCCCTATCA